GCTCTCAAGTTGGATTTTGAAGCTCAACCGCTCATAACTTTTTGCAGAGAACGGCGTCGCAGATAGAAAGGGCAGATTTGGAATCAGCTCATCAAGACGCATCTAATGGTATGCGGTTCATTCCAATTCGCCACCTTAAGTTGGAATCGTTCACTTGTTAGATGATGAAAGCCTAGCGTACATCTCTACTCTGTAAAGCTTGATGCGCTTTCGAAAAACAGCGTGACGTTGTTATATCAACCATGTCCATTTCTAAAATGATATGATCGAGAATTGGTCAATACCGTTTGGAACAAATTAAACTTCGGCACAAAGAAAAAAGTAACGTCCTTTTCTGGAGAAGCGGTCCAGACAACGGAAAAGTACCGTTTCTAGCGCTTGCAAAAGTACTATGTTGGTGCAAAAACAATGAACGTACTCGAGGTTCTCAGTTTAACGTGCTGTCTTTCGAATAATCATTTTTTAATGCAATAAAAATTATCAGAGACAGCGAATTTTTCGCAATACAGCGCATACCCACCTGCTTAAATCAAAAACGGAAATATGGATTAAACTGAAACCTCGTTTTAAGAATCCTAAATTCCTTCAGAGTTTGTTAATATAAATGAACTTAGCCTATCTTGTAGCTGTAGGCCAGTAGTACAAAGGAAGCCAAAAAGGAAATTTCAATAGATTACAAATTCTTCAAAAAGAAGTTTAAATTCAAAGTTATCAAATATTTTACGTCGTCTTTATTGAAATTGCCTTTACGAGAGGTTGAAGAAGGTAGAACTTTTGAAACGACCTAAAGCCTTTGAAAGTGAAAGCTAAACATTTCAAAGACGTATCGCTGTCGCTACTCATCTATAGTAGTTATTAGTTTTCAAAATAATTACATAATTTATGTACACACGATATTTCTAGCCAATCTCAAACTCAGAGTGTTTGAATTGCGGTAGCGTTTCGAGCGTTGTATTGTACCTTACTTTCAGAATGTTAGGAAACAGCTTAGGATGTCAGCAAAGCTTCTCGTTGTTTCCTGTCGCCAACTTAATTTGCAAATTGTTCGACGTTTTATTCATAGAAAAAAATCATTCAAATAGTCTTCGCAATTTTTAGACTTCTTGTAGCAGACTTCGAGATGTCAATACTTGATCCGCTATCTGATCTATGCTTGGGTAAGTTCGGATTTCTGTCGAATGGAATGAACATCGAACAAATTCAGAAAAGAAAAATTTCGAATCAACGAATATCGAATAAATTCGAGATTTAGATATTTTCGAATGAATAAATCCCGAATAAAATCGGAAAATCAGAAACATCGAATGAATGAATATCGATTATATTCGAACTTTGGGAGTCGAAATTCGAATAAATATTCGAATGATTTATCGAATAACTAAAGCAGCCAGATCTAAAACTCGCTGACATATTCGGCTAAAGCCGATCCATTCATGATCAACACCCTCATATCCCCTATATCAACTCTTAGCTCAAGATCTTCCAAAAATAGATGAAATCGACAAAGTAGATTTTATTTTTAAGCAGCACCCTCATTTACCCCTCTACCAACTCCCAGCCTCGTAGTTCAAGATTTATCAAAAGATAAAAGCATCGAAGTAAGTGTCATTTATCCCCTCCCCCTGCACCAACTCCCAGCCTCGTAGCTCAAAATCCAAAAAATCGCAAAAATCGACAAAATATTTTTCATAGCAGCACCCTCCCTTACCTCCTGTACCAACTCTCAAACCGTAGCAAGCATCTTGTGACTGGCGCGTACGAGTTGCGTGAAGTATGTGAGGAACCTGTCATAATCAAAGCTTGCAATTCCCAATGTGGACCTTTTTCGTCCGGCTTTAGCCTTTACCATAGTTGATAGGCTGAGAGCCCCCGTGTCAAAGTGCTTGCAAGCCTCCGTAAAAGTCTTGGATGCACTGTGATAACAGAACTATAATGTACTATCTGTTGAACAAAACTTTATCGCAAGGTGATATAACTGCAAAATTCAGCAATCGTCTAATCCTCCACTGCAGCTGCGATGTCCTTCATTCAAAATACACCAATTCACGAAAAATCTCTAAGGTAAAGAACAGAAGCAGTTGTGCACCATAAGTCTTAAGCAAGAGTGCACACTAATGTGGACCTTTGCGTACCAAAAGCATGAGCAATGCAAAGAAAGAGAAACAGGCATGTCAACATATTTCTAATATATAGATCCGGAACATGAACTTGAATTATCGCTGTTTTTTGCTGACAAGGGAACCGTGTCGAGTCGAAGTGGCCTTTCCAGATGATACCAATACTGCTTTGAAGAGCATTAATCAGTGATTCCAAATCTGCTTTCCAAATCTGCCAAGCGCCTCTGGACACCGAGTTATGCTCGTTTTTCAGGTCAAAAAATTGAACGCAAAACTGAAGCAAAATCGCCCAAATTTGCTCAAATGGTCCAGTGACAAGTATCAGAGCTGTTTGTGCAATGGATACATTTTATTCAATATGTTAATACTCAACATTGCTTCATGTGAGCGCTGCAAAGATTGTAATAATTAATTTTACCTAAATTCTGCATTCATTTTTCAATCCGAAGAACGGTCATAACTCGGCGTCCAGAGGCGCTTGGCAGATTTGGAAGGCAGATTTGGAATCACCGTTCAATACCCTTCAAAGCGGTATGGGTCTCATCTGGAAAGGCCACTTCGACTCGACACGGTTTCCTTGTGAGTTGGTGCCAATAGCAGTCCGCTATCTTATTGGTCGAACAAGCATCAATCAAAATCCATATCTATTTTTTTTACCGACACAAGCACTCGGAGGAATGCGACTTTTCATACAGTTCAAAGGTCGTCACGATTGTAAAAAGATACATTACCGAGTTTTGCGGAAAAAAACGCAGACGAAGCGAGTTTGATACTCAACAGTTGGCTCTGCAACAAACTCGAATAATCTGAGTACAGAGTTCATTCGAATACCAATTCGAATAAACATTCGAATAAAATATTCGAATAAAATTTACTCAAAATCCCGTTTTTCGATTCTTCGTTTTCGAATTTTATTCGAAACCTTGTTCTGGATTATTTGAGTTCTGAATTTTACTCGAAACCCCTTTTTCTCAATTATTCGAGCTTCGAATATATTCGAAAACGGAAAAACTACGAATATCAAATTTCGAATGCGAATATATTCGGATGTTTTATTCGAATGATCGAATTTCTATTCGATTCGGACCTAAGTATACTGGCGTCGTCTACACTGATCATCATATGAGTTTCGCAGGTTATACACTGTGACAAACCATGCCCTTTTTCCTTACATCATTACCCTGTTCCAGTCCCACCTCTTTTGTCAGTACCCTGCCCCACTATATTGTGATCAGCATGCTCACTTCCCCATGTGCCACTCTCAGCGCAATAGCTTTGAGCGTAGCGTAGCTTTGCAAAAAATCTATGTGATATCGACGGATAATGAAACATTTACGAAACCCACCCGCCTCGCAGTGTACGAAGTTTGGTCTGCAACGGTCTAAAAAGATTTCCTATCAGAACATACTTACAGGCACACACTAAAGCCGCTAGGGTACTCAGATAATTGCCAGGGGGAGGCCCATGCGATTTATGGGCAAGCGGGCATCGGAAAAATAGTTCGTTGATTCTTGCTGCTCCTTGCAGACATCTGAAAGAATGTTGGCCAATTTTTGAACAGATGTTCGGAGAACAATTGCGGTTTTCCGGCAGTTTAGTCCGCGAGAATATGCAAAATTGTCGAGGACCGCACGTCCTTTGTGAAGAACGCTCAGCTCATAAGTACTTTTTGCTAAGAGAAAAAACCCCAAACTCGGGTTGTTAAATCATCGCTCAATCCGAGCGCCTGCTGAAAGTTTGGCCCTTGCTGAAAGAAATTATTTGGCAAGCGCTCACAGAAAATTCTGCCTTGCTGCCCTCTGGCAGAACATGCGATAGTAAAGGAAGTGCCGCTTGCTAAAGTTTTGGCTACGCTTTGAGATTGTATTGGTAGATTGCAAGAAACTAGAGTTCGCGGTTTCTGTCCCCGGCGGTTATCTGAGTAGGTGGTCACCGAAAAAAGCGGTTACCAATTTTTTGCTAGCACATTATCAGGAAGCCAAAGAAGTTTTCCGATCGCATTTTATCCTTTCCTTCTTCGACCTTTCGCAGATAGATTGCTGTTTTTTTTTTCAAAAAAAAAATCAACAAGTTGCCTTGCAAATGCTTGTGGGCAGTCTTACAAAACTTTGCAAGCGGAGTGCGAAAAATCGTCACCTGGTTTTCCGATGACCTCCCCCCCCCTACCCATGGCGAATGTCTCAGCAGACAAAATAGACACACAGAGCAATTTCAAGACTTAAATTTGAACAAATATTCATCTTTGCAAGCGGTAAGTCTGACTTAGTGAAGTTGGAAGCGAAACTTCAAAAAGCTCTTAGTGCTTGAAATATAGCATTAGACAATCGTTTGCACAGTTTCATGAATTTTCATGGCTGGACTCTGAAAAGGAAACTTGACATGCTTTTGCGAAAGCAATTTAGTCCTTTTTCGTAGGCGTTTTTTTAATAGGACATTTCCAGTAAAACCACGAATTTCGGCTTTCTATAGTGAAAATTTTCTAAGCGAAATCAAATTTATAGCAGCCGAAGTGCGCAACATATTCGCATTTGTAAACTAATCTTGTTTCAGGGCGTAATCTAACCACGGGAAATTGTGCAAAGTACACAATATTATAGTGAAAATCATGCTTGCACAAAATGGGTCCTCAAGACTTTTATGAGCGCAGATCGCAGACACGGTTTTCGTTTTGTCAAAACGTTCTGTGTTTTGTCAAACTTCAGGCGGAAAAAAGTTTGCTCGAATGTTTACCGCATCTTGCAGAGCATGCTTTGATTTATCAAGGTGTCTTTTACTCACTTTTCTGTCTTTCTTGCCGCTCTAACATGTAATGCGACACACACTCTCAAATTCAATAGCCGTGCGTGTTATAGTTCAATACGGCGTCTATACGGTGACTTGCAGCGATTGGATTCGATGAGAACGGCAACCATAAGACAGACTTATCGAAAGAATTTCTGAAAGAGCACTGGCTAAGAGAGGAATGTATGCAAAAAATGTACGAAGATTCTTTTGAAGTAAGCTTACTTTTTAAGACGATGCTGCAGTTATCTTTAAGATTTTCTTGCAGAAATTAGGTTACAAGAAAAAAAAGTTGAAAATAACTGTCAGAGAGAATTTTGCTGACACTCAAGGAATCAAGTTGGCTTTTAAGGCAAGCTTTGAATGTTAGTCCTACGTGCCTACAAATCAAAACTGTATCGGTCTCGATTTTAAATCGCTTTAAAAGTCACCCTATTTTGGCTTTTTCGAAAATGCTTGGTATGCTGTTTTGCGCACATACAGTGACCGCCAAAAAGTTGCGGACAAGCCGCCTTCCTTTTTTCATCGCTCATTTTCGGATGGAAAACGAAGATGAAAAAATGACTGGATTGCATGAGGTGATAGATCTCTTCAAGAGCTACAACTCACACATTGCGCTTTCTGGAAAACATGTATTATAAAAGTTTTAAAAACCTTTTTCTAAAAAAAGTCCGAAAATGGCCGCGTCACAATGTCGCGGACAATAATTCTTCGAACGCGAAAATTCTCTGTTAGGTCTTTTCTTGGAGCAAAAACAAAAGTTTTCCGGACAGGTAAGCATAATATATCATAGAGCTCATCGAGGGCAATAATCGGGTAATGGCTGCTTCCAAAAATACCCAAGTTTGAATTTTGTTTTGCGTTTTTTCAAAAAATAATTTTAATTCCCTTCTTCAAGCCAAATTTCTTCATATGGAAATCCATTCAAGGCATTCCAACAAGGCTGTTTGGATAGAATGGATGTCCTTTGCCATTTTCTATGCATTGGACGCGTGCTGGTGAGTTTCTTCGCTGAAAATGGCTTTTGACAGTGCGTGCACATGACCTCACCTACACCTCACCACTGACTTGCACCGCTTTGCAGGCTTGTAGCTCGGCCAGCAGTCATTTTACGAGCCTGCTAGTAAGCTCATTCGAAAGAGCGTGACTTCCTGAACACGATGGTATGCAAAAGTGTTGGGTATGAGAAACAACGGAGATTTGGCGGATGGGTTGATAAAGCGCAGCGTTAGAGGTGATTGAAGTGGAGGCTCTTATCAGCACCAGAGCAGTCCTAGCTTCGAAATGGATCTATTACAAGAACATTGACAGTTTTAAACCTCTAGGATGGAACTTGTAGCAAAAGGAAGCTCTGTTCAACTTTAGCTGATTCTTACTCTACTACTGAATCTGCGCTTTTTCACCCCATCCGCCAAATCTCCGCTGTTTCTTATTCCCAACGCTTTTGCATACCGTCGTGTCGAGGAAGTCACGCTCTTCCGAATGAGGCTTATGGCAGGCTCGTGGATTGGCTGCCGGCTGAGATACAAGTCTGCAAAGCGGTGCAAGTCAGCGGTGAGGTACAGGGGGGTCATGTGCACGCACTGTCAAGAGCCATTTTCGGCAAAGAAACTCATCAGTACACGTCCGATGCATAGAGGATGGCAAAGAGCATCCATTCTATCCAAACAGCTTTGTTGGAATGCCTTGAACAGATTTCCATGTAAAAAAATTTGGCTTGAAGAAGGGAGTTAAAATTATTTTTTGAAAAAACGCAAAACAAAATTCAAACTTGGGTATTTTTGGAAGAAACCATTATTGCCCTCGATGAGTTCTATGATATAGTATGCTTACCTGTTTGGGAAACTTTTGTTTTTGCTCTAAGAAAAGACCTAACAGAAAATTTTCGCGTTCGAAGAATTATTGTCCGCGACATTGTGACGCGGCCCTTTTCGGACTTTTTTTAGAAAAAGATTTTTAAAACTTTTGTAATACATGTTTTCCAGAAAGCGCAATGTGTGAGTTGTAGCTCTTGAAGAGATCTATCACCTCATGCAATCCAATCATTTTTCATCTTCGTTTTCCATCCGATAATGAGCGGTGAAAAAAGGAGGGCGGCTTGTCCGCAACTTTTTGACGGTCAATGTATGAGCATATGGCTTATCTTGTGCGAATCCCGGCAATTCTTAAAGGTGAACGAAGTTTGTCACTCACGGGGTTGATTCTGCTAAGGCGATTATCGAATTTGCTTGAGGTTCGTGTCATTTCTATGCGCTTTGAGATGAAAAAAGTTTCTTGTATAAGGCAACAAAACAAAGCCAACGTAAAGAATTCTGTGTTTGAAGGCAGTGCCCGGGCAGTTTTGAGCTCACCTTATTCAAAATTACCTCGCAACGTTCGTATATCATGGCGCAATTTTCTACTCTGGCAAAGACATCGCTAAATCGAAGGGCGCATCTATTTACACTTTTGAAGATGTTTTCACAGTACAGAACCAAAATCTTGCATCCACAGTTGAGCTATAACATGCATGAGGAGCTCTCTTCTATAATGTTTGAACTTAGCCGATTACAATGGTACTGCCTTCGAATTAACTAAATTGCAAATCAGAGCAAATTGTGCACATAGAATCAGACTTTGGTGCCGCGCATGATTGCGCAGTACCGTACACGGATATAGACTGCCTGCTGCGCACCACTGCGTGCACTGCAGTCAACGTGATAAGGCGGAAAAGAAAAATACAAGAAGCCCAACAAAAATTCGAAATCATAGTCTTTTCCTTTCTTCGACGGTTGCACTTTTTTCGTTGCAAACTTTCAAATGGCTGCGCTTCGGATAATTTGCAAATCTTATCATTTGGCAAGACTTGTCGTTTTGTGCAATTTTTTATATATTTTATCTATACAACTCAACGCACATCGTTGGAAGCTTTGATATCAGCATTTGGCTGGAACTCTGAAAAGCTTACGTACTTCTGTTGTAGAATACTGCAATCCAGTTTGGAATCCTGATGTCAAAAAAAGATCGAAAAATTGGAAAAAGTTCAACGTACATTTACTGGAATCTTATTCTACCGAATATTCCCAAATTCTTGGTACCCACAGGCTCTTCCTAATCATAAAACTAAACTAACCATGCTAGGACTCAAAAGCTTATATCACAGAAAGTCATTAGTTGATATATTGCTAGCATACAAGATCATCAAATCTGAAACACGTTTAAGATTTTCGGACTACTGCATTTTACGACCTACTAGTATTCTCCGTTCTAGAATTAACGCCTACACACATAATTCCAGGGGATGACGAAAACGTAGCCTACAGAGTTCATTTGGTGCCCGCGTGTGTCACATACTGAATAAACTTCCTATAGGACTATTAACCTTGGATCCATTTAAATTAAGGAAATCCCCAATCGAACATAATTATCTTGACAAATTTAGCTCAAATTGTATTCAACTTTCTGTTGAATTTTTTGTCTCCTTATAATCACTTTCCCTTACTGCTGCATTTTTCAAAGCATGTTTTGGGAGACGAAAAGCAAATTTAGTTCTTCATTTGCATCTGCTTTCATATCGTATCCTTTTTCCTGTTCTCGTCAATTCTGACTGCCTCTTAATTGTACAGTTCAAGAAATCTCCCACTATACCAATAACAGGGAAACTGGCTTACCCACGATTGTATTAGAGAACCCTGCTAACGGATTTTTCATATACTTTATCTATACAACTCAACGCGCATTACTGGAAGTTTCGAATTCGCACATCAATCAGCATTTGTTGCTCAAAACGGAGTTATGAAGGAACCACCGACACATGTTTATTTATGTATATGGATGGATGGATGGATGGATGGATGGACGGGTACATCATGTACATGAAAATGATCTGCTACAAGTAGTACTTCATAACACTTCGTTATTTTGAGCGCAATGTGTACTACTTATGCTGGTCGCTATGCATGTGTTCGAACTCTTGATAATGTATAAGAAATCCAATCAAATTTTCTGAGACCTGATTCTCAACCCTATTGCCATCCAAATTACTCTAAGGCCCGTATGCATGTACACTCCCGAGGGGAGGGGAAGGGATCTAAGAGGGGAAGCATCATATCTCGCTAGTCTATGTATCTTTCTTCTTCTTTCTCTGTCTTGGTTTTAAAGGTTCTCATACATGATACTTGCGCTTAGCGGATGCCAGGTTACTGCCATACAAGATTAGATATTCACTATTTCGTCTGATCCCCTGGGGATCCCCAGGGAATCACCTCACATTCTCAAAGTTATTTATCTTTCTGAAAACTCGATGAAAATGTTCTAAAATTGTACTGTGGATATACTACAGCACTGCTAAACATGTTCATGGTAGAAATGAGTGAAATCTCAAGATATCAAAATCTTCGGTGAACCGCTGCTCGCAAGCCAGGGATTATCGAAAAAATCGAAATCGTCATCAATTTCTTCTTTCGAAAACATGCTCAGCAGTATCGTAGTATATCTTCAGTACAATTCTGCGGCGTTTTCATTCATTTTTTCGGTAGATAAACGACTTTGAAAATGTGAGATGATCCCCTGGAAATCCCCAGGGGATCGGAAGAAATAGTGAATATTTAATCTTGTATAGCAGTAACCTGGCATCTATTATGCGCAGCTATAAGGGTATGAGAACCCTCATACTCCCCGCGGGGATGTACGTGCATACGGGCCTAAATTGCTTACCTACAACACCATCAAATACATCCTTTCCCCAGAAGTCACACTTACAACATCGTCAATCGTGGCCTTTATCAGCAGCCCATGAGCTTTCCTCTTCCCGAATTAATATAAGAACTGTATAAGATTCGGTATTCGCATACGACTTAGAAGGAGCAAATTCAAAGTCATTCTTGCCTTTTTCTCCCCGCCCCCGTTCCATATTTATTCGTTTGTCTGTATTTCATTTCTCTCAAAAATACTTTACGATGTACTTGATAAAAGATAAATAAATAAATATAACTACTCAGAAAACAGAAAATGCTCTCAACTTAACTTTCCTTTATTAGCAATGAGTCACACCTGAGTAGCAAAGAAAAAGCAAAGAAAACACTAGAAACACTCGCACGGAAATTTGTAATAGCAGTTGTTGGCGCACAAGGACTGGCGTCTGCAGGAACAGCATACTGGTTAATCTATTAGATTGTCCAATAAGTCTTTTTATCTTTGAGTTTTCGTTTTTCACACACTTCTTATTTTTAATAGACATCAGGATACCATTCGATAGTGCAAAGCAAGCTCTATAAGACGGCGTTTATCTTTTGCATCAGCTTCGATCCAACTCAAGTTTGAAACCAAAGTCCAAAAAGTTTTGGGTGCCCAGAAAATTGAAATTTTTTTAAA